TGTACGTGATGTCCTTTACCGATGACTTAGATCGTCACCACCATTGTGTAATTTAAAAGCGAGAATGAATTCATAACTTTTCAAGTTCTTACCAGAACCGTTCTGACTGCTATTTGTTCAATTAAGAATCATAATTTAGAAATGCACTATACATCAAATTATATAAAAAAAGAACATAACAGTCAAATTTTAAGAATTATATTTAGAGGTCTTATATACAATATCTAAAAAAAAATCATCTTCAAAAATTCCACAAGATGGCGCTTAACTAATCCATCAGTCATTGATAATCTTATTTTAAAAATTGATAAGTAGTTAGTGATTATTTTACTCCTATTCACAATTTTTATCTTTCAAAAATTGACAATACACTTGGATTATGATGAAATTAAGATAGAAAGGAGGTAATTTCCTCCGCTTTTAGGTTATACGCTTTTCTTTAATTATAAAAATATATGGTTTTATCAACAGGAAGAGTACATATTTATCTATAATGTGAATTGATAACAAACATCGAATCTAAATGTATTTATATTTCATTCAGTCATTCAGCTACAACATAGAACCTAGCACATATATGCATTGGTCCAAGTTGGTTCACTTCATTAGCACGACAAGATGAAGACCGAATTCATAGAAGTAGTTACTTCAATGGTAGTAATGCATAAAAGGAAGATTGCATATAAGGATATAATACAAGAAGAAAGAATTAATTGGTAGAAAGGTATAGATCAATTTTAGTCTCACATTTTATAAGACGACAGAGAGTGTAAACACTTACGCCATGTGATCGATTCTAAGTCATGTCACACAGTCTCCAACCACTGGTTATGATAGTCAGGCGGACACCAACCTAGTAGTCTGTAACTACCAACAAGGCTCAGACTAGAAGTTAATATCTTTGTTGAAAGATGCCACGTTTTGGTTTGGCCGCCCCTAACTTTCTTCCAATCATCCCCAACATTAATTGGCATTGCACATAGTGGTAATCGGCGTTCAGGCATACGTAACACTTGGCCCAACTATCTCAGTCGATGAAGATTAAATATCTCATCAACTGATTACTTTTTATTCACTAATTATTAGTATATATATTTTCAGAATAAGATACATATACAATGGTAATGCTGAATTCCAAAAAAATCTCTATCATTAAAACTCAGTCTTATAATAATAAAGCTAATAATTAAAAACAATGAGCTGAAATCCTTAGAGGAGTCAATCTCTGTCTGGTTTTGAAATTTCATTCATAGCGATATGCATTGAAAGTATTAGATAAACTACATAGAGAAAACAAATAGTTTAATTTTGTCTACTTATCCAAATTTATTGATCATTGCTATGATAATTATCCCAATTACAGCAATAATTTTTTTATTCCAAAGAAGAAGACATAATTACAATTAAGACATTGACAATTATAACAGAAAATTCAATAACAAGATTCGAGGAGAGTGAGGTATGTATGTATGTGTGCACAAACTACTGAAACGCACATAAAAGAAAACAACTATTGTGAAGTAGAGCAACATTCATCTTGGGATGTAAAACAGTTAAAAGATAAGAAAAAGACTGAAAAGGCAAACAAGAAAGATTTTTTTACATAAATGGCCTACAATTTATATGTATAACACCGCATTAATTGTTTTCCTCTCGTTTACTTCTCAAATCTAAAGTGTGCTTACAGTAAATAATTTTTTTCAAATTAATTACTTTGAAATTAATTGATAATTAAATAACCAGTCTCTTAAGTTTATACAGTTTTCTTTATTGTATAGCTTCAGGTGAATCTACACGTATTGCTGATATTTAAAAACTATTTACCTTTCTATCCAGAATCTTATTTTTCTCTACAGTAAGAAGTATTCCTCTCTCTCTCTCTTTCCCTTTTTCTATTTATGTATGTCCCTAAAGCTGTGGAACTATTTATACTTCTATTCTCTTATTGATACACTTACACGTTAATTGCAACTAATGTTCTCTTCTTTTCGTCAACTGTTTTTTTTTACTTTTATTAAATTAAATCATTATATTAGGCAATGCAATTAGCACTGCAATTTAATAAAGTGTCGATCGTCTAGGTTTTCTTTTCTTTCCTTTTTAATTATTTTCTAATTACAAATTGGGACAGAGTATCCACTCATCCATCAACACACATATATGGACATGGACAGTGAACTGAAAGATAGACAAATTTTTTTTTTGAAAAATGGCAAAAACTACTGAGTTATATAAAGTCAAAATATAAGTAGAAAATAAGGATAGAAAATTGAATAAGAAACTCAGGACAAGATAGAAAAGTAAATTAGTTAAAAGGAGCTGAAATTCGAAAAAAAAGAAAGAAAAGAATAAAAAAGAAGTTAACAATTTTGAAAATATTTAGGCCAATGTCTGTGTCAAAGTTCATATTGGTTATTTTCAACTAAATAAAATGAAAACATCTAAAGAAATTCATTTTAATGACTAATGTATATCTCTTTCTTCTAAAATGATGAAATAATTCTGAAAAAGAAATTCTAAAGCGATAAAAAAATATTTACTAACATGTTACATCTTATTTTATACGAAATATGTAATAGCTAGTGATAATCTTCAAGAGATCTGGAACCTGAAGCATCAATTAACTAATATTTGGAGTTTGAAAAATTCCCATTCTATTAAAATACAATTATATGAATGAAGAATATTCATTTTAATAAGTTCTCATCAGGTTCTACAATTATAAATTCAAATTCATAATCCTGAAATTGAAGTAGACGTTTATGCTGATGATGCCATTCAGAAGAATGATGAAAGCTACATGACTAAACTATCTAGCTCAGAGAACAAAATCCCATTAAAGTCATCCACCTGAGCTAAAAATCTTCTCCATCATTTTAAATGATGTACTCTGCCTTAAAACTGGTCAATTTTATAGATTATTCATTTAGATTCATAATTGTAGGGTACCTGATGTGAAATTATTGAAAAGAATATTCTTTGTTCATATAATTGTGTTTTAATATTTAAAGGTAGAATTCATTAACAACACAAGTCAAATTGAAAAAAAGATATATGAATGAATTGATTTTGACATAGTGGTATCAATGTTGATCATATTAAAATTTAATATACTAAGTTCGATTCTATATAGAGTGTTTAAATAATTTTTCAATATGTGGTTGGGGAAATTAGTCACACAATATCATGAATTAGTTAAAATTAGACACTAATGTTATTGGATTTTAGCTCAATGATTTATAGGTAAAGTGGTTGTATGATACCAAAGGTCATAGGTTTGAGTCCCACCTGTGAGGGTTAGTGAATACTTACTTTTGAAGACGTTCAATGCTTCCAAATTTCCATTGATAGTTTAACATTGATCAATTCATGATTTCACTATGGAAAACCTGGAAGCACTGGACGGCCGTTTCGAATTGAATATTTGTTAAATAAACTTTTATTATCCTTAGAAGTATTATGGTAGATATTTAATTTGAGATTTATCTTACATTTAATAAGCACATATTTTATACTATTAGATTGACAACGAATGAGTAATAATCATAAATATAGTTATCTTTTTATTTTGTTTCTACACGAAATTCTAGACTTTCATTTAATCTGTAACTAGATATTCATCGAACAGTTATTGAGCATTGTAACTTGGTTTTATATTAATCAAGACAAAATATTGATAGCTGTCTATTTAATTCTCAGCCATCAACATATATTCATTCAACTATTTATTTTTAAAAATTTTCATTTATCGTTTTATTATGTACTCATGTTGTGTAATAGTTGAGACAAATGTAAAGTAACTTTACAATTGAAATGATTAAATACAAATACTTGGTTAATCGCTACTACAAATTGCAAACTACAAAATAATCTGGGGCTTTCAACAATATTGAATCATCGAAATGTGATATTTTTGATTAATTGAGTTCTTTATGAGGCTAAATATTATATGTAAGTGATATTGTGATGCGTGACATAAGTAGTATGTGACGCGAGTTAAAAAAGTAATGTCTGGCAGCAGAAGATGGGGGAAGATCAAGAAAGAAAGAGCGGGGACACAATGCAATTTGTAAGAAAACGCATGAACAATGAAATGTGAGACGATGGATTGATGATTGCAGCGGGAACTGTCCGGTTTGATATGATAGATTGATATTTTGCAAACTAACGATTTACTATAGTGTTTTTCTATTTTACCAAGTAACTCTAAGATTTCGAACTAAGTACAATTCGATTGTCTTCACCCGTGTTCTATTCACTACAATGTTCCATGTTATGACAAGGAAAAGTGTATACGTACAATTCGTTGAAATATAATTACTTGAAATGTACTTATCAGAAGCATTTCCTATTTAATTAGTAGCTGATTAGCATGATTTCTCTAAATTCATAGATATTACTTTCTGATTAATTTTATTCAATTCTCAATGTTCAATACTCATAATTTTATTTTTCAATTATTCCACTGACTTTTTTGAATGATTAATGTTGGATATTGTAGTAAGTTTGAAATTGAAACTATTAGTGATTTGATATTTTCAAAAGTGATACTTTCTCATTTCTTATTGACGTAAATTTAAATGTCATTACAGTTTACATTTGCTGGTAAGCGAAACGATACTATCTGTCATGCAGGTGGGTGAGTATAGCCATATATATATTATGAGATGTATGAGTGAAAACCTGTATATTATCAGTTTTCGTGTAACGTTTATTTGCTCATAGAGTAAGTATACTTGTGTGTATGCCAAAAGGGTTAAAACTTATGTGTTACCGGTATGCATGTAGACTATACTTACTCTTGATGCAAAACCAACGACTTCCCCACAAAACTATGTCCATCTAGTAGTTTCTTAGGCCTCAGAAAGATGATTTTAATCTAAGCTTATGAACTATACCGAACAGAGTTACATCAACCTCAAATAACTGAAAAACTATACCATATACATAGATCTATTTAAAGAAAGTTAAATTCATTATTTCATTTCTGATCAACTTACCAATCATTTCATATTGTTGATCAATTTTATTATTTAAATCTTGTTCATAAGATAAATCAATTATTTTCATCTTATCATATATGAATTCATTATTACAATTATTTTCTTCATTCTCTTTTATATTATTCATTATATTCTTTATATTATAATTAGAAATTTGTCTTGAATTTATTAATTCAATATCATTAATAATAGAATTATTGATTAATGTATTATATTCATTAGAATTTATTGATTGTTTATTTATTGATTCATTAATAATTGGTATTAAAATTTTGATAATTATTGTTGGTAATTCTTCAATATTCCCTTCAATATTATTTAATTGCCAATGTATATCAAATATTTCATTTGAATAATAATTAGAATCATTCATTTGATTATATTGAGATACATTTTCATGATCTGTAAATAATTGCTGTAATAATAAAAAATTAAAAGAAAAATAGTTTTTGTTTTTTTTAATTTTAAACATTAGTATTATTTAATTAATTAAGAACTTTCGTCTAAATTTAAACGAATAGTTTCACAATATTTGGGCGCCGAGTTCATTTGAGACATTAAAAAGAAGAATATATTTGTAAAATCTCAGCGAATGAATTTTAAGTAAATCTAGGAAGATATTTTCCTAGAAAAAGCTTGGACCAGATTGCCAGGCGAAACGTTGGATTTACTTAAAATTCATTCGCTGAGATTTTACAAATATATTCTTCTTTTTAATTAGTATTATTTATTTGAGATGAACATTTATGAATAAGAACAACATTGTTTAGAAGAAGATGACTGTAACTGATTTCAAGTGAAAATAATCTTTGCAAACAAATCATTTTATCATACTGCATAATTGTCACATAGTACTTCCAGGTTTTCCATGGTGGTCTAGCTTCAATTGACTCATGATTTCAACTGTTGAAATGACTACAATTTACACAAAACCCCTTCTGATACTAATTAACACATGCTCACTAGTGACTGGCTTGAAGAGGTATATCCTGGAGTTCTAGTGAAAATTAGTGACCATTGGAGTTCAACCGGGTCTGTTGTGAGACGGTAACTCACTGATGACAATGGTGGATGTGTCACTCAATTTCGTGGATTGGTTGAAGTTAGACATCAACACCGTTGGATGCCGGCTCAGTGGTCTAGTTGGTTAAGCGCCTGGCGTGAGACTGATATGTCCTGGGTTCGAATCTCGTCAGGCGGGGTCGTGGATGCTTACTGCTGAGGAGTCCCGTACTAAGACGAAACGACCATCTAGTTCTTCCAGGTTTTCCATGGTGGTTAAAGCTTTAATTGACTCATGATCTCAACTGCTGATGTTACACAATAAAACAACTTTATGTTTTTCAGGATTAAACTATTTATTTAAATGAATTATATGGTTTTCGAAAGGATTGAGTAAGTAGGTAATGGTAATTTACTTTAAATATCTCACATTTACAGATTCATACTAAACAGCTCATTTATACAATGTTAAATTCACTGAAGAGTATCAATTCCCTTAGAATTATAGATATGTCTTGTTGAGAAATATCAAAATAGCACAAAATCTGAGTCTAGAATTTTAGGCTGACTATTTCCAACCAGTTAAAATTAATTGCTAATCTGCTGAGGCAATGTCATAGGTCATTTAATAATTAATATCATACTAAAAAGAATGAGTTGCTTACAAACATTTTGAATTTCTTACAGACTTAAGTGATATTGAGTTTTGTCTCCAAACTATACAATTAGTTTTTCGAATGGTTATTACTTGATCATTAGGAAGTAGTTTCACAATACTGAATTCCATCGATGTGTAAGTTTGTGGTAACTCTGATAACATTTAAGATCTTCCGTGATATCATTATTTTATGTTCAAAAATCTATTTCACTGCGTATCGTCTATAAGTTACAAAGATTGATAATATTAAGGATCATCGTCGCAAGAGTAAATTATGTAATATTTCAATGATAACGTCTCAGACTATGAAACTAGTTCAAATCCTTCGAGAAGTAATTTTTCCATATTGTTGGTGGATGATAGTATAAATATTGGATTAACAGTATTTTTTCTCAACTAACAACTGAGATTGCAATATCGAATGACATGAGACTGAGGCAGTATTAGTCTCTTTGATGTGAATGTAAAATTATAGAATTTGTTATCATTTTACAAACCACAGGTTTACGAATTTAATTTAAATATTTTTCTGTTAAATGAATTTAATAGTGAAAACTTTATTATTTCCCTTACAAACCATTTTACAAAATTTAAATGCGACATTTCCACAACATCGTTTTATATAATCAAAAGTAGTTATTATTTAAGTAGTTTTATTCTTCGAGTATTTGTACAAAACAGTATAGTGAGTAGTATTATAAAACAATCCATATAGGATATGTAAGTGATTGTTATCTTACAATCACTTATTGTATATGTGGTTGGTCCAATAAATGTGCACAATGAAGTACAATAATTTTTGGTTAAATTTGAGCTAAACTCTTAAGAAATCCATAAAATTTTAAAAGGTTCCTAAAAAAAACTCATTAAAGAAAATAACTCTTTTCAAGTGGATCAATGAAACAGCTTAAAGAGTGCAAGAATAGTTTACAGCTGTTGACTTCCGGTGCCTTACAAACTTAGATTTACATTCAAGATAGTTGATGACTGATTCGACTAGAGAAAAGTATCTGTGTACTCAGATACTATATATATTACATAGTGTAAATCAAAAATCGATTCTTTAAAAATCTCTTAGAGTGTATGAATTCTGTTAGCTTTATACATACATCTTTCTGACAGAGTTTTCCACTGATTACTTCTAACCATTTCATGTTAAATAGAATATAAAAACTATTTTATTAATCAGTAATATCGTGTGATAATTTACATGTTCATAGATCCATCATCGTCGTCACAGAATTAAACATTTCACTTTTAACATTTATATTTATTTCGAAAGTTTTCTAAAATATTTTTTATGACTCTATTTATTAGATAAATATTAAAATTATTATTTTAATTCTTTCTTTTCTTTTTTCTTTCTCCATAGAAATTAATGTAAACATTTTCCGAGGTTATTCTAAGTCAACAATCGATATACATGTATACAACTATTGAAAGATTTTCATTTATAATTATGGATAATTTTACTTTTCAAAAACTACCCTATAAAAGATAAAAAAGATTAAGATAATTTATAGATTGCTAACTAATTGTTATTCAATTCGAAATGATCAATTCATAGGATTATTATCATTACTGTTATCTATATATAGCTGAATTAACTAGGAATTTTTATGTGTTTATTGAATGGTAGTAAATATATGTAAATATAAATATAGAAATAGTGGTTTGAAAAAATTTCACTAAGAAACAATGAGTGAATACTATGGTTATTATATTCTAACTAATCAATTTAGGGAGATTTAAATGATTTCCAATTTTGTCAAACTAGTGAATAATAAAAAGATGGACAGTGGCTAGCGGTGGAATCCTGGACGAGTGTTTCGTTCAGCTGACGAGTCCCAAACAAGACGAAACACGCGTCCTGGATTCCACCACTAGCCACTATTCATCTTTGTCAATAGAGCTTGTGGTCTAAGGCAGTCCACATGAGACTGATCATTTGCAGTCTTAAATAACAATGGGAAGATACAAGTAAAACAATACCAAGTGAATTTAATGAATAATGCTTCTTTTGTTTACTGGACTATTGACTGTACATTTACTCGGTTTAATTTGATTCTGATTAAAATTAATTCAGAATATAATCAATTAGTTTTTCAGTAGATATTTAAGAAGCTGTTGTTATTGTCAGAGTTCTGGAAATTACTGGATCTGTAGTTTTGCATTACGGAATGACTTTGACGACAAAAAAACGGACACTGGACAGTTGTTTAGTTCTAGTATGAAGCTCATCAGCAGTGGAGATCTGTGACCCTATCAGAAATAAAATTTAGAACCATCAGGACACACTGCGAATGCTTTGCATCAAAATAACTGAGTGAGCATCTGATGACTGTCCAGTTGAGGCTAGCACGCGATATAAAACTACCAAAATGCGAGGTAACAAACATCTGGTGAACGAAATACAGCACACATGGACTAAGAAATGGAGTCAGGGATAAGAATATAATGTACATAATAAGAACGATATCATTTGCCAATGTTATTCATCGAACGATCGTCATATGTGAAAAAAAATTTGTTTTACACAGGATCTAATATTTATTCAATTAATAAATACTTGGAAAAATTTATCCCCCAAGTTTTTATTTCTAGTTCCAGTATGGTTCATAGATGAGTTTATTTATGTGTATCAGAAAGTTCACGAACTTTCACTGTTGACTGAAGTTTGTGCAATATCTTGTGTATTATATCTTCCAAGTTGATTCCATTGACAATATTCTGAACTGTTTGCTTGTGCATGATTGAAGAACCAATGAAATTACTGCTTAAACACTGAAAGTCATATTATATAATTCTTGTTTAAATATTTTCCTATTTCAATGTTTACTAATTTAAAATTTTATTAGGTGAATGAGGGGTTAAAATTGATATTGTAAAAGTAGTTATGGAAAGGATTTTTTTTATTCGTTAGGGTTCATATTATCCTGTAGTCGTTATTCTGAATTAAATACAGATCTGCCTTCGCTTGTATATTCCTATATTTAGTGAATACCTCACTGTAGCACATTTGTGAGAACATCAACACTGAGGTTTAAGTTCTTTCAGCTGGCAAGTTCAGATTTGGATGCAAAATGATTCGTAAATTACTTGGTTAACCATAATCTAAATATATTATTATACCATTACTTGTATTCGATAATTATGCAGTAAATTCTACTCAAAACTTATTCAAAGTTATGTTGACAAGAGTATAAGACCTCTCGATGTTTAAAATCCATCTAAGTTGCTAATGTAAGGTTAAAAGATTACTCGCAATAGCTAGGAGTATCAAAACAGCTCAGACGATAGGTAAAAATAACATCGGTTATTGAATTATCAGTTCGAAACAGAAAGATATTCAACTGTTCTATTATACCTGAAATTAGTCATTATTTAACCGTTTTGTTAACATTTTAATAGACTAAATTTGAGTTTGTTTATATTAAAAGATGATTAACTTTTCTATGAACGCATGATTATTACTCAGTAGAATAGTTGAGACTTTTAGGACATAGGAATTCTAAAGACAGGTATTACGGTGGAAATTATTTTGCAAAAACAATTCAAATGATTGATCGCTTAAGTAAAGCTTATAACAAGCTTTTATAACTTATCAGTTATAGTTACTAGAATGCTAATTCTCCCTATCATGTGTGATCAGTTTATTCTAATTTCTTTACGTGTAGTGTACTATAATATCCAGACAATTTATACGTAGTTAAATCTGTTACATACATAGTTCTCACTAGCTAATATTAATTAGTCAACGAAGACGTGGCAGTTTGCAATTTACAAGTGCTGATCAGTTAGACAAAGGAATTCTAATCGGCATTTATAGTTCTAAAAATGAACAAATATTTACATCAAGTGTCTAGAACCGAGTAATGATTATTGTTCATTGTTTCAGTAACTAATGTGTAATAAATTTCGCTTTCACAGAATTTTGAATTTCAGTCGAGATATTTTCGAAGCAAAGCTAATAATTCACTTGTTATTGTTTGGCTTGTATCTTCCCATTGAGATTTAAGACTGCAAGTGATCAGTCTGTTATTGGCATGTGTGCATACTGTGCGTATGCCTCGATATTGCCTTAATTCACAAGCTTTTGGTAAGCGATGATGGATAGTGGCTAACAGTGGAATACAAGACGCGCATTTCATTCCGTTTGGGACTCGTCAGCTGGATGTACCTGCATCTCAGGGTTGATGTTCACTCTGGGACTCGAACACAGCTAATAATTTTCATAGTTTAATATCTATATTTTCCTACGGAATCACTCTGACTAACGAAGCTTGATGTGCAAAGGCGACAGAGATGATATGAAAATAGTGTCGTCATTTAGAGATGCTATTAGAGACCACTAAACATTGAACAGTTATTTTTTATTCTCGTTTAAGACTTTTCAGTATTGCATTCTCACAACCACAGGTGAGGATGAATCTAGAGCCCTTAGAGATCATCACGATAATGATGTTTAGAATAGGGTATAACAACTCTTTAGGGTTCCATATCATTTAGAGTTTTTTATTTGAAACTAGTCCATAACGAAAGCTGAACTTAACGTGAGCAAATATCAACAAAATATCAATTTAAATATCGCAAACATTAACTCATGTGCAACATGATGCTAGAGGAATCATAGCTCCAACAAACTGATGATGTTACATGTTATCGGAAGTAGATAAACCCTACTTCACAGAAATTGGTCTAAAATATTTTGATATGAGTCCTTGGGATTCGTTCTCACTCATTTTTCATTGATTTCGTTTGGTGCCAAATAGCATCAAACAGAATGGAACTAGATTTTGAACTGTTAAAAGCATTTGGAGGAGATTTAAGTAATCACGGTTTATGCCAGTTTTTATCATGTAATGTACTGACGAACTTAATCATGAAGAAATTCTAATTTAGAAATATTTTGTAGATTATCCTAAATTACCTTTGAGTTTTGCAAAGATGTCAACGTTCTGATTTACTGTAAGTACTTAAGTTTGTATTCAGAGTAATGACCCCTAGGTTTGAATGTTATTCGATAGGGTTTCAATTAGTCCTATACTAATATATGTCGATGAATTAAATGAACTAAAAATTTCTTGAATGATTTGATAAACATTTACATACTTTAGGATTTACTTTTGATCCATTTTACCACATTTATATTATTATTATTATTACTATCAATATGGATATATTTATTTTTTTAGACTTCTTAAAGCCATGTTTGTAATAATCTGTATTGTTACCAGTTCCCAACGGTTAAATGTCGTCAAATAGTCACTGTTCGAGTATCATGAATTTGTAATCATTTATTAGTCTTGGTTCAAAGGATATCTTCACGTAAGAAATAATAATATGTCAATATTTCTTTATTTTTACCTACTATATATTCATTTATGGGTTTTTATCTACTAATATGCATGTTTTCATATATTGACAACATTTACTCTATGAATGATATTTGACATTAATAAAATGATATGATCAAGTTTCAAAGCTAAATATACTTTAAAAAAATACAATTTGAAGTCTTTACTAAAGTGAGCATCAAATAAACTAATACTAATTCATACAAAAATTTATGAGACTATCATTTTATGGTACAACGGTAATCAAAATGGTATAAAACAATTTCCAAGTTGATAATAGTTTGAACACTCAAACGTTTTAGTCTAATATGTCTGGTGAAAATTCTCATTTCAACATTTGGTAAAAAAAAAGGAACGAATCGAGTGAAGGAATTTCTTTTCAATTAGTTTTTCGTCATGGCTCTACACTAACATATACATGTATGGTTTACAATAATGATATAATACTCATCGAGTAGTTTTGTTATGTAATAATTATATAATGACATGGTGATTATAAAATAACATTGAGTAATTGTAAGAAAGGCGATTACAATAATCAAGGTAATTATTTAAAAATCATGCAGTTGATACGTTGCAAAATATATAAGAAAAAGGAACTAATAAAGTATTTTGATGATAGGTATCATAGTACTTATATGAGAATCAAGGGATGAATGTTGAAAATGGGTAAAATACAAAAAAATAGAAGAAATTAGACAGTAGTTCAAATATTTCTGAGGAAGAAGGTTTCATCAAAATTCTGCCACAAACTCAATTCTATACCGATGGTCAAGGTAGAGAGAGTGCTTGTACAAACCTATTTTGGATGCATAGGTTTGGCTTATGAACATGGATTCCAGTGTGTACGAAAGGCGAATTTGATGGAACATGATGGATAACCTTAAAAGCTTTATTCAATTTTACTTCATGGCCTGTGTCCATCGAGTAAGCGAGAATAAAACTCTTAATCACTCTTAGCTGATCTTTGCTCAACCAAAACAGATGGTATTCTGTTGTGCGATGGTACTTACTTACTTACTTTACTTACGCCTGTTACTCCCAATGGAGCATAGGCCGCCGACCAGCATTCTCTAACCCACTCTGCCCTGGGCCTTCTTTTCTAATTCCATCCAATTCTTGTTCATCTTTTTCATGTCTATTTCCATTTCCCGGCGTAATATGTTCTTTGGTCTTCCTCTCCTCTTTCGGTCTTGAGGATTCCATGTGACGGCTTGTCTTGTGACGCAGTTGTGTGCTTTCCTCAATGTGTGTCCTATCCAATTCCAGCGCTTCTTCCAGATTTCCTCCTCCGCTGGGATCTGGTTTGTTCTCTCCCACAGTATGTTGTTGCTAATAGTGTCCGGCCAACGAATCCGAAGTATTTTGCGTAGACAACTGTTAATAAACACCTGAATTTTCTGGATGATGGCTTCCGTAGTTCTCCAGGTTTCTGCCCCATACAGTAGAACTGTGTTGACATTTGTATTGAAAATCTTGACCTTGGTGTTGATTGACAGTTGTTTTGAGTTCCAGATGTCCCTCAGTTGTAAACATACTGCTCTTGCTGTACCGATCTGCGCCTTCACATCTGCATCAGATCCACCGTGTTCATCAATGATGTTGCCCAAATATGTAAAGGTTTTTACATCTTCCAAATCTTCTCCTTCAATTGTGTTTGGATTGGTGCATGCTGTGTTGTATCGGAGAATCCTGCTTTTCCCTTTGTGTATGTTGAGACCTACTGCTGCTGAGGCTGCTGCTTCACTTTTCGTCTTCTCCTGCATTTGTTGTTGCGTGTGCGATAGAAGGGCTATATCATCTGCAAAGTCCAGATCGTCCAACTGCATCCTAGATGTCCATTGTATCCTGTGCTTCCCTTCAGATGTTGACGTCTTCATGATCCAATCGATCAACAGGAGAAAGAGAAAGGGTGAGAGTAAGCAACCTTGCCTAACACCGGTCTTCACTTCGAACGACTTTGTCAACTGTCCTCCATGCACGATTTTGCAGTATAATCCATCATAGGAATTCCGTATGATATTGACTATCTTCTGAGGCACGCCGTAGTGTCGAAGAAGTTTCCATAGTGTTGTCCTGTCCACGCTGTCAAACGCTTTTTTGTAGTCAATGAAGTTGATGTAGAGTGATGAATTCCATTCAATTGATTGTATGTAACTGACTCCACAGGAGCAGTTGAATTGGTAAATACACGAGGATGTGGAGAATTTTCGGAAATCTGTCTTTATTAACGGTTCGTATTATGTGTGTGTGTGTGTGTGTAGAAAACAACATTCAGTCTGGCTGCATTAAATGTTTTGTGAACCGCCTTTCTTAATCTGTGAGTTACAATTTCCTTGGTAACACTATTTAGGAATTGTGATTTTGAGAACAGAATTTTCATCTCAACGATAGGTACCTTTGTTATTCTTTCAATCTCTTTCTAGTGTTTGTTGATGAATTTCGTTGGGTATTCATTCCTACAAAGTAGGTTACGAATATTAATCAATTTATCTACAATGGTTTCATCCAAGTAAATCATCCTAGGACGATTATTCAGGACCTTTATTAAGCCTGGAATATATATATATATATATATATATATATATATATATCTGGGAATTTGAAGCAGATATGAAAAGGATGAATGGCATTTGAAAATAACTGGAAAGGAGAGCCCATAACAAATTTGATTGAAGATCCATGATCGGCGTTCTATGCTCCACGAAAGGCAACATGTATAGGTAACCAACTAATTAATTAAGAAGATAGGCAGGTAGGTCAGTAAGTAAGTATACATGTATGTATGTGTGCATGAATGATAACTGATGACTGAACGTCTTGGCAAAGGAAGTGATCTTTTTATAATTGTTTGGTGCTAGCTTAGGTATATGAATATGGTGTCTGACGGTTTAGACAATATTCTACAGTATACTTGATTATCATATAAGAAAACGGAAACAACTCAAAGAACCATCTGGAATGAAACGTATCTTATAAAATAAACAAGTAACCGATAAAACGTATTTAATGCGAGAATAATCACTCAGTTACAACAAGAATTGATAATGATTAAACTTTCTATAATATCTAACATACTTGTTTGGCGATTGATCTTTGGTGTTCACTAACATGCCAATGATTTAAAGCACTTGTTAGTGACTTAAAACGAGTGATAGATTGTTGAGATGATTTTTCAGATGACATTAAATTAATATTGGGACTACTAGATGAAGGGGATGAACAATTTGTCAATGATGGTATGAATGGTAAATAATTTTTATGACATACATAAACAACTTGTAGGTTTGTAAGGATTGACGATAATTGTAATAAAATCTTATTAAACTTTGTTTGATATTTTAAATTATTTATACCGTTTAGGGAAGAGTCTGTATGTGCATTATTGGTCTCGTCATTATTATCATTTTCATCTATAAGAGACTTCAAAAAATCAACATAGAACAAACTTAAAGAAGCTAAGGTATTCCATAGATAATTGCGTCGATTGACTAAATGTGTAAATATCTTCACAGCTCCAATGTGACTAAGTGTTTGACAATGTAATCGGAATTTATGCACTGAAGTTGTAAATAAATCACAGGCTATACAGTACAGTTGTATTGATGATGTTAAATTGAAATTGTTTTTGACATTATTGCAATTACTGCTATTGTTACCTACATTACTACTGTTATTATTATAAGTAGTAAGATTAGTCGTTATATTCAATGATGATATATTATAATTTGGTCCTTTTGTAGTTGGACATTGTATATTATTGTTGTTATTGGTATCTAATATTTTATTTTCACAAATATTTAGAGTTGACAGAATGCGTGACTGATTCCATAAACCACCTTCGCAAACATGTACAAGAAAACTTAATCTTTGCGCATGTTTTTCTGTTTTACAATGTAATTGAAAATTAGCTTTTAAAGGACTTTTATAAGAGCACAGTTTACAGAACCAAAAACCATTTGTATGTAAAGTTATTAAATTCGTAACGTAGTCTAAATCAAACGGTACACGATTCCGTTCGACATGTTCAATTAAGACATCTAAATTATCCGTTGTAAATGTACAACATACTTGGCAAGCTAATGGATGATTTGCTGTTTCAGTAAGATTACATAGTAGATTATCATGAGATGATGTTAGAGGTATGAATGTTTTCAATGGATGATCATAACAAAAAGAGGACGAATCAATAACAGAAGATGAATATGAGGAATAGCTTGGTTGATGCATTCTATCTTCACCATTAGCTAAACCTAGTTCATGAAAATTTGTAATGGCTTTATTTATATTTATATTATCTATGACTTTTGCATTCTCAGTTTTTTTCTGAAGAAATTCAACAGTTTTTTGATTTAGTTTCATATTTTGTTGCAACGATGATATTGTTCGTCTTTCAGATAATGACTGTGCAGTTAAAATGTTCAAATCACATGATGAATTTGATTTTTTACTGGCTGAATTTAAATGAGTAAGATTTTGATGCAGATTATTTTGTTGATGGCGAGTACAATCAGGACTTTCACTGTGATTACTTCTTGTATCAGCTGTATTGAATATTGTTTGAGACATTGTTTGTTCGTGCTCCTACAATTAAAAATAAAGCAAATAAAAAACTACAAACGAACGTTTAAAAAACATGTGCATACGATTAAAAGTTTTCTAGTTATAATGCGTGAATATTGGAAAAATATACTTAGGAAATTGATAGAGTTCTTTTGAGATAGATCTGAGATATTGTTAAGGCTACAAAGTAATAGACAACTACTACTATACCTCCAAAACATTCTATTATCACAACACAACGTGAAGACTACGGAATCGTAATATTAAGGTCATCATAAATAAATGGATAAACTTTAATAATTGAGATCATGAGTCAGTTGACGTTAGACCACCATGGAGAACCTGAAAGCACTGGATGACTGTTTCGTCCCATCTTAGGACTCGTCAGCAGTGCACATCCACGATTCCGTCTCGCGAGCGTTTAGCTTCTAGATCACTGTGCCTGCATGCAACGGTGTTAATGTCTAGCTTCAACTACTCCATGAAATTGAGCGACATACTCGTGAGGACGAAACGGCCGTTCAGTGCTTCCAGGTTTTCTATGTTGGTCTAGCTTCAATTGACTCATGATCTTAACTATTAAATTTACTGTAATATCCACAAAAACCCATTCTGAAATGAATAAACGTTCACATCATAAAGTGAACTACACAAAACAAATATAAAGAAATTTTATTTCATACTAAAGAAATCTTACCTGAAGATTATTTAGATGTTTATCCGATTGTTGATGTATCGCTAAATTTCCTTTTGTTGTAGTAGAATAATTGCATATTTCACAACGATATGGTTTATAACCGCAAATATAAGTTTCACCTCGTCCTAATCTTGGATGTACAGTTTTTGTAACACAATAAAGACATGAATTAATTGATACTCCGTTAGACTCTTTAGTTTGTAATTGTTGTTGTTTAGGCATAGTTAATGAAGATGAATACTTTAGTTGACCAGAAGAAGAATACGGACTTGAATGCTTGCTAAATGCTAATTTTGTAAATGTTTTATTCATAGATTATACAATTGTATTTCAATGCTTAAGATAGTTATTTATTAAGACTAGTTCAATAGAAATATACACTATGATTTCAATCAATTTCTGTTAATAAAAAAAAGAATAGAAAAACGTTTATTATAAAAAATGAACAGTTTTAAGATAAGGAAATTAGTAATAAATGGAGTTTTAAATAATGGTGACTTGATTAATTAGTTGTATCCATATGAAGTTATAGAGATGATTAAGTTTTTGATTGAGATCATGAACCGATTGATGTAAGACCACCACTGAAATCCAAGAAGCACTGGACAGTCTATCCCGCGAGCCGGATCGCGTATGAGCACTGCTGAGGAGTCTGACAATAGGACGAAACGACCGTCCAGTGCTGTCAGGTTTTCAATGGTGTTCTAACATCAATCGGTTTATGATCACAATCAAAGATTAATTAGCAGCTTGTAATTCTGAGACTTGACTTCTTAATCATTATACGTATATAACCTTTTTCTAGTTGAATATGAAGACCTTTAAATGTGTTGTAAATTTAATTTGTTAGCTTTGGATATTTTTAGTGCGGAAAGAGATATTGTTATATGTTTAATATGAAGTTTACTGGAGTGATTTATATTGATTGTTAATCAATTTCAACATTTATTTCACTAGTTGGGATGCCACCAAAACACGACAAACATTCAATAACCTTTTCTTTATAAAAGTTATTTCATCAAAAGTATATAACTACGAAAATATCTTTTTGGTTTTATACCACCCATTATAAGATTCATGTAGATAATCAGAATACCTCAATTAATTTTCATTACAATAAGATTGTTATCACAATATTGTTAATACATTACTGCTTCATTCCTAATTTGGTTATCTCCATAGATCTCAACTTTCTACGACATGACATAAACTTTTGAATTAAAGCAAAGATTATTCTGTATTTCAATACTTAGATAAATACCAACTTCTGATGAAAGCACCTAATTCAAAAAATACATTTACATTTATACATTATTTTCAAGTACCATTTTCATTCAATCCTATTTAATTATCAAAAAATAAATAATTTTTTTAAAATGACATTTGAATAAAAAAGATTTATCTCCAACTGAAAAACGTTTCTTTTTTATAGAAATTTATGGTCAATTTAGACCACTTATAGATTTTGAATACAAAAGAAAAGAGAAAAGTAAAGAAAAGAAAACCACAATATAATTTAAAATAAATCAAATTAAAATGATCAATTCATTTTAGTTGTTATTTCATGATGCCTTTCTTTTCGTTCTTTCTTTTTTCTCCTTTTTTCTCCTTTTTCTTCTTTTTTTTCTTTACTGTTTTGTACTTATCACTAATAATTTTGAAAATAATTAAATATTCTATCTACTGTATTATGATGATTTGAACAAGATGAAATCATATAATAGAATGTCTGGCTAAGAAAAGTGTTTCCATTTCTTCTTTTTTTTTATAAATGAGAAAGACAAGTGTTCCCTCTGTGTATTTCTTCACTTATTTAATAACACTTAATAAATTAAAATATTCATTCATTTGGGACCAGATTTCATTTAGACAATAGATTGATTAATTTTAGTAAAACATATAAAAGATTTTTTAAAAATGTTACCACACTAAAATAAAATTAATGATGCTTTTTTTCTTAATTAAAAAAAGGTTTTGAATAGAGAACATAATTTAGATGAGAATTAATAATCATATGAAGTTGATTTTCGGTAATATTTTTAATTATGTCACTTAATTGAGATTAAATGATAATTGGCTAGTTTTTAATGAGATTATCTTTTTTATGTATGAAAGAGAAAAGTGGATATTTAAAAAGGACTAATTCATTGAAATCAAATTTTGAAGATCAAATCAATTATTCATATATTTCTTTTTTGTTTATTTAAACTAAAGTTCAAGCGGGTCAGTGGTATGATAATCACTTATTGATGACAATGGCGGATGTGTCGCTCACTTTTGTGGATTAATTGAAGTTAGACATTAATACCGGCTAAATGGTCTAGAGGTTAGAAGCTCGAGCGCGAGACTGATAGGTCCTGGGTTCGAATCTTGCGAGGTGAGATCGTGGATATGCACTACTGAGGAGTATCACGAAACGGCCGTCTAGTGCTTCCAGGTTTTCCATGGTGGTCTAACTTCAATTGACTCATGATCTCGACTATTAAAATAAACTAGTTATGATGAACAATTTATGTGGATCATTTTAAACTCAGTTAAAAAGAGGTAAATTACAAATTATGGGCTGATATTTATTAAGTGAAACGTTTTCAGTCATCGTATATCGATTTTTTTTCTAAATATAAATATTCAACTTATTTGACATAAAAAACTAAATTACTCAAATAATCTCCCAGTCCATATAGAAATCTTACTGAAATAAATGAGTTCGTGGACAAGAATTTCCTTATTGTGAATAATAATTGGTGATTTTCTGTGTTCAACAACAACAAAAAACTGGGCTATAACACAACTACAATTATTCTTTGTAATAATAATAGTTAATTAAATGGAAATATTTAGTTTAGGATATTTTGGAAAATTATATCTTAAAAATTATCTAAAATGAAGGGTAATCAGTAATTACTACTATTTTCAGATGATTAGTTTTAATTATTTAACCCAGATACTTTCTTCTTTGAATAATTGCCTACATTCCTTATGAACATCTAGATACAGTTTAACATAATGTGGTCACTGAATTCTTATGCAAAACGTGTTACTGCCAATAAATTAGTGACTTGAAACCATAATAATTACAATATGTTCTTCTCATATTGGTGAATTATATGATTAAGATATTTTCTTCTACGTTATATTGTTCGATAGGATCATGGTGTTGTTTTTATATTACTTAATGGGAATGGACAGTCTATAGTGCGATAAACTCAGTACTAAAGTAAAATGTATCTCAAAATCTATTCATCTATTTGTAATCTCACTTAATCATGTTATATAAGAGAACTGAAAGATTTATGATAGATAAAGAGAGTAGTTTCGCACTCTGCTGATCATGATTTTCACTAACACCACTTTTAAATCAGAAGGTTATGTGCCTAGGTAAATTTTTGCCTGAATTTAAATGAGAAGTTTAAGGAAGTAAAAATATCCGAACAATGTAGTTTAATTTTCAGTGTGAGATTGTTGGATAGCATTGAGATTATAAGGCAGTTACCCACTGAAGAAAATAGAAGATGGACACGCAATGTCGTGAACTGTTTTCGGCTCGTTGGTCTACAGATTAAGCGTTCGCATTCAAGATGGAAGGTCTTGAGTTTGATTCTTACGTGCAAAATTATGGATGCGCACTATAGAGGATTTTAATACTAGAATGAAATAGCCACCCGGTGCTTCCAGATTTTCAAAAGTAGTCTAGCTAAGATTAATTCATGATTACAATGCAAAATAGTTTCGGACATCCTAGAATAATGTTGTTGAATAGTTAATCAAAGAAATCTGGAAACAGGCATACTGTTATTCAATTGGTGGCATATATATAACCTCTAACAATGACTACATATGTATTTATAATATGACAAGTAAATAATCAAGCCGATATTTGCTCTTTCAGGAGTGTGTAACATATGATATGTGATTCACAATAAAATGAAATTTAAGTTACCATTTTATTCATGAATAACATTTGAACAAATTCAATTCATCTTAAACGCAATAATACAATATAGATCAATACTTTAACAGTTTCCGTGAGAAAACTAGTCTCAAGTTAAATAATCAACAGGGTAAGTGATAAAATGCCAGTTTGATATAAAATTTGAAATATTAGCTATTTTTCGGTAGTTTTATTTATGTATTCATTATTTGAACACACAAATATTGGTACAAAGCAGCACCGAATACATATGCGCCATATAAATCAAATGATTTGTATGTGGGCTGTGATACTACCCGAGTGCCCAGACCGAAGCAAGTGGTTTTCTTAGAGGGCTACACTCGGAGCCTTTGACGTAAAGAGCTGATCTACAAGGCGGTGGAGCGATGTTAGGAGATGCAGTCCTATGGAAGCCGGTGACCGACGATTGGTTCATACGCCATTTATTCCCTTAGGATCCTGGTGCCCATGTGCACCATCGGTTTGGAATCAGGGTTTTCCAACTCCCTTAGATGGATCCTCCATATCCACAAACCCGGTTAAATCGCCGGATATTCGCTTTTTGTCCTCTCAATTTCGTAAACAACACCCTTGTCGCGGGAATGCAATGAGTAGTATTTTCCTGGAAGTGGCTGTGTACGTATGACCATGTGAGAGCATTTCGAGAGGGAGAGCTAACTCTCTCCACCTCCGGCCGTACTAAGGCACTTGGGGGCTAAGTATGAATATCCAACTTAGTCTGCCGGTAACTTCATATACGGTGTTGTTTGAGGTAACACGCCACTGCATGCACCAATTACCCACACCGACATTTTCCTTAGTAGTAAGGCTAATCGATTATTTCATGTAAGTGGTTTATCAAAAACGGGTTAAATGAAATACAAAAATGAGATTTGCGATGCGAAACAAATTTTTTGAGATTGTTGCATTTTAACAAAATACAAGACAAAATGGGCAAATATACAAGAGAAAAAGGTTATGATTATTATTATTTTAACTCTTGAGATTAAAAAGTCATCGTTAACTTATAATGATTTATTTGGTAAACAAACATCATATCAAATTAAAAAAACTAACGTAATTGCGACAATATGGAGTTTAACAGAAATTAGACGATGAGCTTTTAATGTTTTTTGAAGGATAAATGGGTGAACGATATTTCTAGAATATTGTCGACAGTTTTATGGCTTAACATGATACAAGGCTACAAAAAAAGGACACTAGTATTTACACTGCGGTTGAATTTCAAATTGTGTATTGATAATAGCTTATTTGAACGGGAAAATCCTACAAGATCGACTGAAAGGAATAGGTTTGAACTGAGAAATTGGAGAGAGAATATAGGATAAGTATTAAAACCTACTTGTTTTAATAGTTAACA